TCTTTCTTTTTTCTCCCTATTTTAGACTCTCTTTAGTATGTAGCTGCAGCCTCCAAAATGGAACTTAAATATCTTCCCTTGACTTGAAGGCTGTAGTTCAGGGTCCCATTGGACACTGTGTGATATCTTTGGAGACCCCAGGAGACCAAAGTGGATAGAGCTCCCACATTTGCATTACCCTCTGTCACCTGGTGCAATGCTGCCTTGAGCTCCCTCTGCTCCTAGACAGATCAGTAATGTTACGCTTTGACATTTTGTTTCCTATAGCCTCCAAACTCCGAGGAATACTGCTTCAAGTCTGGCTGGGTAAAGAGAGAGAGGAAGGCAAAGAGAGGAGGTTATAAACATATAGTCATGAAATAACATGAAACAACATGAGCCAGACTTTTGAAGTAAACCTTTTTTCTTGGCCGCCCACTTTGCTTGGGCTTCTGGTGTGCCTCAAAGGGTTAGGAGAGTCATCATCTGGAGATATGACTAGGTAACTTACCCAGAAATCATCCAGTGTAAACTTTTCCATAAACTCAAAGTGTTCCAGGAGCAGGCCCATCTTTGCTGCTTTGGGCTTAAAGCGTCCAGGCAGTATACCTTGAAATCATTTCCCTAGAGATTTAGTTCTTAGGATTTTGTGTATTTTCCAGTCCTCTATAAAAGTGCTGGGAATCCCGGGCTTCATCTGAACAGAGTCTTATTTGTTAGCTGGCTGATGAAAAGTTCATGAAGAAATGGGTCACAGTTTGGAGCCTGAGAAAGAGAAAAAAGGAAAGAGTAAGAGTTAAGTCATTTTTTGATTTGTTTCATCATGCAACTTGCTTATTCATCCTTCCTTTGTTATAGCAAAGGGGAGTTAAGGGTTGAATTGTATTCCTCCCAAAGATATGTTGTAGTTCCAGTCTCTAGCATCTCAGAATGTGGCCCTATTTGGAAATAGTGTCACTGCGGTTTTAATTAGTGAAGATTAGCTCATCCTGGAGTAGGATGGGCCCTTAACCCAATAGGACCTGTGCTCTTTTATAAAAAGATGAGCATGTGAAAACACAGTGACACAGGGAGAATGCAACGTCAAGATGGAGGATTAGCGTGATGCCTCTACATAACAAGGAATGGCAAAGATTGCTGGAACACCTCCAGAACCTAGGAAGAGGCAAGGAAGACCTCCCCTATTAGTTTCAGAAGGAGTATGGTTCTGCAACACCTGGATGGCAGACTGCTAGCCTCCAGAATTATGAGACAATAGATTTATGCTGTCTTAAGTCATCCAGTTTGTGGTATTTTGTTATCATAACCCTAAGAAACTAACACAAGGGCCCATGTGCCAAATCTCATCCTAGTGGCTTTGGATCATAATCAAATAAGATGTGGTCCCATCCTCAGGGAAATACCAGATAGGATTTTTAAAAAGAGACAGAGAAAGAGATTGGTTAAGAAAAGGGCTTCACCAACACTGCATATAGAGTGTATATGATATATATGTATCATATGTGTACTCTAAAATAAATAAAAAAGTTGGGCTGGGAAAAGTGGGGCTCTGATGGGATGATACAGGTAAGGGGGCCTCTGTCTTCTCCCTGTAGAAGTCCTGAGATGACAATTTTGGAGACTGAAAAGATGGTTTGTGTTGCTAGCAAGAAGGAAGCAGGGATCACCAGAAGTCAGGATGTTTTCCAAGAACAGTATCTGTCAGGGTCAATTCATTATCTTCGACAGGGAAGTCAGACTGGTAGATGACAAAAGGTAGCAGACAAAGGATAGCAAGAATTTGTGGACACACTTGGTAGTTTTCCTTATGGTGGCCTTCCAGACAAGATGAAGTGGTTGAGCGAGCTGAGTGAACAGCTATACGTATGGACTGGTGATTAATTAATGGAGCTATGCCGATCTGAGCTAAGGTTTCCAGTGGAATGCCAAGGAACTCTTACATAAGTGCTGCCTTGTTCAACATTTTTATCAGTAGCCTAGAAAAGTCAAGCATTACCAATTTTGTCTTTGATGGACCAGACTAACTCTGTCTATGCTTAGAGGTATACTAGAGGAATACACTTGAAGCCACATAACTTAAGGAGGGCATAAGGAGGTCAGAAGATGTTTTGAAGAGAGTGACCAGGTGGTAACCTGAAGGAAAACAGTAGTCCCGTAACACACACAAAAAAACAAGAAAGTATTTGGGATATTCAGGCTAACCAGTAAAGGACCCAAGAAAGACATGACAGTCGAGAGATAGTATGTTTTACTTAGTTTGAAGAGTTGTGATCAATGGGGAAAATAATAGGAAGGCAATCTCAGCTTGATATAAGAGGAACTTTCAAGATGTTAGAGTATTAAAAAAATGTTGACAATGAAATTTGAAAGAGAGCAAATCTCTGTGGATCAACCGACAAATTTAGTAAAAATTCTGGCAGGATTCTTTTTTAGGAATCTAATAACTTATTCTAAACATACAGGAGAATAGAGGTTCACCTGGGTGGCTCAGTCGTTAAGCATCTGCCTTCAACTCAGGTCATGATCCCAGGGTCCTGGGATCAAGCCCTGTGTCGGGCTCCCTGCTCAGTGAGGAGTGTGCTTCTCCCTCTGCCTCTGCCGCTCCCCCTGCTTGTGCTCTCTCTCTCTCTCTGTTGAATAAAGAAATAAAATCTTAAAAATAAATAAATAAATAAATAAATAAATAAATAAGAGAATAAAGGCCTATATGTAGCTGAACCAGTTTTGAAAAAGAAGAGCAAAAATGTTATTCTTGCTCAAAGAATGGTAAGATATGCCACACACCCATGATAATAAAATGATGCAGACCTGCTACAGACACAGGGAAATAAGCCAATGGAACAGAAGAAAGAACTCAGTGACAGACTCATGCTTTCAGGGGAACCTGGTACATGATGGAGATTTGACTCAGTGGCGAACCTCATGCTTTCAGGGGAACATGGTACATGATGGAGATTTGACTCAGTGGCAAACCTCATGCTTTCAGGGGAACCTGGTACATGATGGAGATTTGATTCAGTGGTGAACACATGGGCCGCTCAGCAGGTGTTGTTGAGGAAACTGGTGGCCTACATGGGGAAAAATATAGTTGGAGGACTTACCAGTATAAGAGTGGATGTAGAACTAAATATGAAAGAAACTCTGAAGCAAACAGAAAAAAATATTGAAATCCATATTTATTATTTTAGAGCAGGAAGGACTTAGGTTAAACTCCCAGAACACAAAGCATAAGGGGAAAATATTCAATTACTATTTCAAAATGAAAGATAACATATACAAAATTATCAGATTAAATACTGACAGATTGGAAAGTTATTTGCAACATGAATACCATAAGAGGTTAATCCCTCGCTGTCCAAAATACCAGAAGTAAATATCTAGGATATACAGACAAATTCACAAGTGAAAAATAAGAAGCCTCATTAGAAAATGGTCCTATCAAGGGGCACCTGGGTGGCTCAGTCGTTAGGCGTCTGCCTTCGCCTCAGATCAGGATCCCAGGGTCCCGGGATTGAGCTCTGAGTCGTCCGGCTCCCTGCTCAGCGGGAAGCCTGCTTCTTCCTCTCCCACTCCCCCTGCTTGTGTTCCCTCTCTCGCTGTGTCTCTCTGTCAAATAAATAAATAAAATCTTTAAAAAAAGAGAGAGAGAGAGAGAAAATGGTCCTATCAAAATGGACCTGCGAGTCCTTGGTTTCCTCATTCACTCATTCAATAAATATTTGAGTGGGATCACACATCAGCGCTGTTCTCAGCACCGGGGATAATACAGTAGACAAAATTCCCTGCTCTTATGGTATTTAAATACTCCACAATATTCTCTTCCATCAATAGGAAAAGGACATTAGTGTCTACTAAATGAATTGTCCCTTTAAATGCCATTGATATCACTTTACAGTTGGAGGAATTTTTAGGGTGCTTTTCTCTTAAATCCATACTTTTGCCTGACGATAAACAACGCCCAGGGACACACAGGTTTGACAGACACGGAGAGCTGACACTTCACCCGTGTTTAGACTGTAAAGCCCGATGGTTAGGTGGATGCAGAATGCCAGTGAATCGCGGCCCTTCCTCTACCACCTGTGCACAGCATTTGGCAACTTCTCTGAGCTTCAGTTTCTTTACCAGTAAAAATGGAACTAATGGTCAGACTTGCTATAAAATTGGTCTAAGAAGGGCGCTTGGGTAGCTCAGTTGGTTAAGCGGGGCTGCCTTGGCTCAGGTCATAATCCCAGAGTCCTGGGATCAAGTGTCCGCGACGGGCTCCCTACTCAGTGGGGAGTCTGCTTCTCCCTCTGCCTGCCACTCCCCCTGCTCGTGCTCATTCTCTGTCAAATAAATAAATAAATAAAAATCTTTAAAAAAATATAATGAAATTGGTCTAAGGATTAAATGAGATAATATAAAAGAACAGCATCCGGCACGTGATAAAAACCTAACGTAGACTATTTTTACTTCTGATTATGACATTACAATCCCAAGAATTGTTACTTTCCCCGCACACCGTACTTCAGAATTCGCTTGGTAACATCTTTGGGTTCTTAATCAGGTCATTTTTCTTTTCAGTAATAATGGAAAAGGAAAGCCTATGCTTTCCTTGACACATGTGGCTTATGAGGCGTGTCTCATGGATTAACCATTAATCCTAGTGTGTGAGACCGGCACTCAGGGTTGCAGGGCTGGACGGGAAGTGAGAGACCGACTCACCAGGCCCAGCCCTATTCCCCTCAGGAGGATTCAAAGGCCTAGAGGTGGTAGGTGCCCTCCCCTGCATTTCCTCAGCTAGCACCATGACGCTACTTAGGTGGTTATGATTAATTATGATTAGAAAAGATTCTCAGCCTTAGGAAATCGAGGTTGTGGTTAGGAAAAAGTCTAGTCCTCCAACTGACTTTGTAACATGGGAGTGAACTGGCGACATGAATACGCTCACTTAATGACAGATCTAGACCCCAAGGGACTTGTGGTTAGTCCAGGTATGAAGACCTCGCGAGACTTCGCCTGACTCTTCCTCCGTGCGGTGGGTGGAGCCAGCCTTCCTCATTAGAATAAGGTAAACAGATTCAGCCCAGTTATAAATGGAAACAAATATGTGGCCTCGGTCACTGAGGGCTGTAGAGAGCGGTGCCTGGCTGGAGAACTCAGTGCAGCAGAGAGAAGGGGCCAGAACATGAGTTCCAAGTCAAAATTCGTAGGGATCATCGGAGCGCCTTTCTCAAAGGGCCAGGTGAGTAAAAAGCGTGGCCTTGAATAACTGAAATTCATGACAAAGTCTCAGACTTTAGAATTAGTAAGGTGCTAATGTCTGCTTAGCTCAGTTCCCTGGGACAGCCGGGCCTGAAATAGATATTTTAAAGTCCTCTTACCATTTTGCAACATTGGAGAATTATGGTAACAAACTCATTTATTCTTGTGGCTCCTAATCTCAGCGGCAGCCAATTTTATATGAATCGACTACATTTTTCTTGGCATTCTTTAAGAGAACATATTTTATTTGAATGGAAATGGGCTGTGTCTGTATTATAGCTACTCATTGAGATTCTGATGTTCTCGTTGCTTTGAGTTTCAATAGCGCATATGCCGAGGCGAGAGGATTTTAAGAAAACACTTCGGGTTCGTCATGTCTTAAAGCCTAGAAGCATCTCGTGGATTGGCAGCAATTTTCAGACTTCTTTTAGTCTGCATAACCTAAATGTTATTGGTTTATGCAACTTGGTGAATGATTCATGTTATTTCGGGGCTTTCATGATCCTGTGAAAATGTTGGTTCATGCGCTAGGTAGAATCCTTTGTGTATCTCTTTTTGAGGGAGGGAAAAAGAAAAAGGAAAGAGAAGAAAATCCAACTGGAAGTTGGCAACATTGAAGGGACTAACGCATTTATGAAATGCCCAGGTTGCCAACACATGCCAGCAACCTTGGACTTTGCAGCCTTTTCTTCTGGTGAGCACACTCATTCTGGCAAACAGTGTGATTAGAGACCTCGGACTTCAGCATGCATCTGTGCTTAAAGGGGGAACACAAAGAACAAAACAAAAGCAAACAAGACAGCGTGACTTGAAACTCCGAGGGTTGATATTTTGTCACTGTGGTTGTTTCAAACGGGGTCTTCTCCGTTTTCCAGCGTTCTCTTTGCTCATGTGGGCAGCGGCTCACTCCTCTTAGTTTTGAACTCATGCTTGGCACTCTGGCATTTTATTGCAAAACAGATTAGGAGAGGTCAGAGGGTAGAGACCCAAACTGCATTTGGAGTGTCAGTAAACACTGCTGCGCCTCCTCTGGTAGTCCTTCAAAGCTCTCTCCCGGAACACAGGGACATTTTGCTGACATAGAAGTGTTTCTTCTAGCGCTCGGGTTAATTGCAAAACACACAATATACTCACCTGTTCTTGTGACAGGTTCTAATGAAGACAGAACGAAAATAACTGACCAAAAGGAAGGAAAGGAGGAAGGAAAATAAAAATTTAAGAAGGAAGGAAGGGAGGGAGGGAGGGAGGGAGGGAGGAAGGAAGACAGGCAGAGGGAGGGAGGCAGACAAGCAGGTAGCAGCCTGAATATACTCTGGCCCTTGGACCTCAGCAGAAGATTTTATGCTCTGATAATAATAGCCCATCGAAGGGATAGTATTTTGAAACACAGCCTGATGCATTTTCTGGTCTTGTATTTCTTTTTCTTTTCCCCTACAGCTCTTCCCCTATTAAAACTTGGCCCCATGAGAAGGAAGCTTATTGTCTCCTGACAGTAAGGGCTCAGAGAGAGATGTTTCTACCCTAAGCCCTAGCATAGGAGGAAAATGGTGGCCTACATATTAGCATCTCTCCTCAGCTAAAGGAGGTAGAAGTTTACAGATAGGCAAAGGAGAGGATTAAGGGCAGATGATTAGAAGGTTGAGTCTGAGAAAAGATTCCACTCCCTTGCAAGGCACTGAGCGGTGGGGGTGGGGTGGGGGATGGGAGCTGATGACAAAATATGAGAGAAGTGTTATATTTATTGTACAGTTCACTAAGGCTCAGAGAGGTTTAGCAATTTGCCAAGTTACTAGCCTTGATTGTGTGATTCCAGACAGGATTGTATGATCCCGAAGCTTATGCACCTGATTTGTGTTAATGCCTGTCGATCTACCGCAGACTTGACGCTTGTGGCCAGTTAGGGCTGGGGGCCCAGCTTCGAAGTCAGTGGAACTAAGGAAGTGATTTCCAAAGTGGGCAGATAAACCAAGCAGTGAGAGGAGACCAACAGTGAGAAGCAGTTTGAATCAAACAAATAACGTATCACTCTGGGAAATCTAACCACTGCGTTAGCACAAAGAGGGTGTCAACTAAGGGGTCTATGAGACTTGTTCCAAAGCTTGAAAGGAAGAGGGAAACGGTCAGGTTTTCTCAGGGTGACAGTTTTTGAGCATCTACGAAGCACTACAACATGTAGCCCCGTGAGCAGAAAGAACATTGGGCTGAAATCTAATAACGGAGGAAAGACAAAGCAACCACAAAACGAAAGACAAAGCAACCACAAAACGAAAGGCAAAATTAGAGCCAAGCGGCACTCTACTGAGGTTTAAAGAAGGGGCAATTACGTCTGCTCCAGGAAGGAGGTGTGTGGGGGTGGTCATGCAAGAAGGCAAGGGAGAAAAGGAGCAAAACGTGTCAGGCAGAGGGGTGGCGGGCACTTGGCACCCAGAGCAGGAATGTGACATCCAGGGTTTGTCTGGCAGCCGGGGCAAGTCAGCTGTCATTGGAATTAGGTAGAAATAGCTGCTTCGTTTGGTGCTGCGGCCCCAATCCTAGGGACAGACGCATGGGTCTTCTGGCACGTCTTCTCGTTGGATAACCCCAAATAACTTCCTGTGTCTACAAGCCTTGTTGGAAATGAGAATCAGAGAGCTACAGAAGAGAACTGTTTCTTTAGGCTGCTATTCTGCCAGGAAGCTGGAGAGGATTTATGGCAAGGAGGAAGTGTGTTCGCCTCTCTGACATATAAAAACAGCAAGCGGAGCATTCTTGTCAATCCTGCCGAATGAAGCAGGTCAGAACCTGAAATACCGGGTTGGTCTTTGTGAATTCAGCTCCCCAGTGATGAATTTCTGTGGCCTGTTTTCTCCCCAGGAGCTCAGCAACTTACCCCGTGCGGACAAGCACGTAGGACTCTCTCATGCCACGCTCAATTTTTTCCTATGCTTTTATCCAAGTTGTTCTCTGGGTTTGCAGAGTGGCTCCACCACACCATCCCTTTTCCTGGAAACCTACTCATGTTGCAAGACTCAGCTGAAATGTCATCTACCCCATGCAGTCTTACCTGGCACACTCTGTTCCCGGCAGAGTTCGGAGCATCCTGTTTTTGTTGTTAGGACCTCTTGTATCGGCACTGAAGCAAATCTCCCAAGTACTGTAATTGGGATTAAATATACATATTCCCTATTAGCTCATGAGTTACTCAAAAACAGAAGGCCTTTTTAGTTGATTGCATCTCTCTCAGAGTGCTTTTGCACAAAGTACATGTTCACCATGTTGATAGCGTGGTGTTTCTCATGGGAAGAGGAGACACAGGTTCTGGGATCCAAAGAACCTGGATATGAACTAAGGCTCTGCCATTTGTTAGCTGTGTGTCTATAGGAAAATGAGATAATCTTTCCGATTCTAGATCCTCAGAGTTGACGTGGGACTCATTCAGTCTGCCTCGCTGGGATGATTCAAGGAGGTGGGGTAAATTCCTGGCTCTGGAGGAACTCAAAAAATGATAGTTACTCTTCTCCTGATTGAAGAATGAAGAGTTTCTATTGTGGGCATCTGATCATGTCTGAATTATTTTATTTTTTAATCATTCAGCCACGAGGAGGGGTGGAAGAAGGCCCCGCAGCATTGAGAAAGGCTGGCCTGCTGGAGAAACTGAAAGAACAAGGTAATTTTTCCATTGAAAGATGACCAGCCTGATTTCCTTCCCGCTCTGAAGAAAGGAGCAGGCTCCTGCTAAAAGGGAATGCATGTGGAATGACATTTATCCCACAGAATTGCAGCACGAGTGGTAATTTTAGAGGTACATCCTATTAAAAAAAGCAGTGTATGGAGAAAATGCTCCATAGGTATTGTTGGATGAATATCTTCACTCAGATATTTTGTCTTTCCAGCCAGGCTATTGTATAAAAAAAATCTGTGGGCTAGAACTGGGGTTGGGTGGGTGGTAGGGGAGTCAGGGGAAGTGCAAAGGAAAAGTACGGGCAGCAGGAAGTACTCTGCTAGCAAGAAGACTCCCATTTGCAAAACGAACTAAGACAGTGATGATGACGATGATGATGATGATGACGATGATCATGATGATGATGGTGGTGGTGGTGGTGATAGCACATAGTGTTTGCACAGTGTGAATGTGTGTATGCATGTACTATACATATACATACATGAGCCTGCAGATAGAAAATGATACAGAGTTTAAAAGGATAGGCTAACGCAAATGTTGTCTTTACATATAAAATCCTGATGACGTATTGGCGAGGACACAGAACTGGGACTGTCGCACGTTTCTGGTGGGCATGCTTAATGATATGGCCACTTTGGAAAGCAGTTTGGCAGTTTCTTAAATAAACATCCATCTGCCTTCTGGCGCATCAAATCTCCTCCTAGGTATTTACCCAGGAGAAGTGAAAACACATCCACACCAAGACTTGTACTTGAATGCTTCTAGCAGCATTATTTATAACAGGCAAAAGAACAGAAACAACGAAATACCCATCAACTGGTGAAGCGATGAATGACAGGTGGTACATCCACACTGTGGGCTAGGACTCAACCACAAAAAGGAACGGGCCACTGACAAGGGCAAGAACATGGATGAACCTCAAAGACAACATGCTAAGTGAAAGAGAGCAGACACAAAAGACTACCTACTGTATGATTGCTTTTACATGAAGTTCTAGAAAAGGGAAAAGCATAGGAACAGAAAGCTCATCAGCAGTTGCCTTGGGGTGGGCGCAGAGAATGACTGCAAAGGGGCGTGAGGGAACTTGGCAGGGGTAATGGAAGTGTTCTAAATCTAGATTATGGTGGTGCTTACAAGACTGTAGATGTTTCTAAAACTCATTGACCTGTACAGTTAAACTGAATGAATTTTAGTAAATAAGAATTATATGTCATGAAGCTGAGAAAAGGAAGGGGAGAGAGAACAGAAGGGTTGTGTAAATGGACTGGACTAGTCTCTCAGTTAACAAGCATAATTTGGTCAGATTTTATATCAGGCTAAATCTCTTAAAGGTGTTACTGAATCATAGATATGCACAAACATATAATAAATACAATATACAATGACGGGTGAGTTCAAACACTGAACTGATCTCATGTCACAGTTTTACCTGAAGCTCTGTACCTTGATGCCTAATGCAAGTCCTTCTAGGAAGCGCACCCAGGTCCTTAGGAACCTCGGGTTACCTGCAATATCTCATTAAAAAAGTATGATAATTAAGCCTTTATTTCCTGAGCTCACTGAAGTGTTAAGCTCATTGCTAATCATATGCTTATTGAATTCTGACAGTACCACTGTGAGGCAGGTACAAAGCACAGGGGAGGGAGCTGAACTACTTCAGCAGGTAACAGATTGGATTGAAACCAAGGACTGTTAATTACAGTCAGAAAATTTAGAAAATACTGGTGTAGGGCGCCTAGGTGGTTCACTCGTTGAGCGTCTGCCTTGGGCTCAGGTCATCATCCCAGGGGTCCTGGGATCGAGCCCCACATTGGGCTCCCTGCTCAGCGGGGAGGCCTGCTTCTCCCTCTCCCACTCCCCCTGCTTGTGTTCCCTGTCTCGCTGTGTCTCTGTCAAATTAATAAATAAAGTCTTTAAAAAAGAAAAAAGAAAATACTGGTGTAACTGGTGCATTTCCTCTGGGCATGTACCTAATATATATTTAAAAAAAACCCCATTTATTATAAATACAACACATGCTTATTGGAGAAAGGTAGAAAGCACATAAGCAGGTAGGGCCACACAGAGATAAAGACAGCGAGGCCGCTCATTAAGCCCAAACCAGAAGATGATCACTGTCCTACTTTCGTGTCCAGCCTCACTGGATTGATTGCTCAAGTGTTTACCGAGAGCCCAGTGTGCAGCTGAGATGACAATGTCAGGCAAAAGCAGACACAGTTTCTAGCTTTGCAACTTGAACGGTCCTCCCTGATGTTTTCTTTGCTTATCCTTATGAAAGTACACTGTTTTGCAAGTTTGGAATCATCCTACACAGACTGTTTTGTAATCTTTTTTTATGTAGTGACCTAAAACTTATGCTTTTAATTACAGAGTGTGATGTGAAAGATTATGGGGACGTGCCCTTTGTTGATGTCCCTAGTGATCCTCCCTTTCAAATTGTGAAGAATCCGAGGTCTGTCGGGAGAGCCAATGAGCAGCTGGCCGGCGTGGTGGCAGAAGTCAAGAGGCAGGGAAGGACCAGCCTGGTGCTGGGCGGAGACCACAGGTCCTGCCTAATGACTCTCTCTCTGAAGTCCGGCACAAAGGGCCTAAGGGAGTATAAGCGAAACCGTGAGAGCAGAGAAAATATGAAAGGGAACGTGCTGATCAATACTTTATACCGATCTCTCTGCCTTTTCTTCTTTTAATTGTTTCGGTTATTTATTTTCTTTTGGAAATAGAGACTTAGCTCCATTTGAAGTCTTGCATTACATTTATTACAGCAGAGAATATATGACATGAATGGATTTCAGTAAAATATGCATCATAAACTTACATTCCTAAATGAATAAATACAAGGAAGTTCCTGGCCGGGTTACTGTACTTGATTCCTGATAGCAGGAACAACTCATTTAAGTCAACATTTGAAAGTATTTTTCCTGTTCTAAAAGTAATAATTTCAAACTTTTAAAACACACACACACACATAAATAAAATAGTAGTAATTGTATTTCCTAACAAACATTTCAAGTGAAATTGCAAATCGGGCATATTTCCTTCCTGCCATACTGTTTCCCTTATACCTGATTTTAACAACCGTGTGATCCGATACTTTGTTCTTAACCTAAAGTACAGATTTCCTTATGTACCTCATGGTATATATAAGCATAATTTTTACTGTTGCATATCTTTCATCAGGGTATTAAATCACTATACATATCCATATTGCCACATATTCAGGTAATTTTCAAATTTTCCTGATTATAAATAATGTGGCAAAAGGCCCTTTCTGTGCCTGAGCCTTTTTAATGTCTACTCTTGAGGTCCCTGAGTACATTATCAGAGGTCTGATCAGATCAGAAAGTACAAACATGACAGTGGCTCTTGATGCAGGAGTCAATCACTTCAGCTCCCTGTTTTCCTCCAAAGCCAAACCATTTCCAGGGCTCCTGTGTGACAAAACTGTAACTGAGAAACTGGAACTCACTTTCTTTTTAAGTGGAAAAATTTGCACGTGGAAATGTTAAGAGTGGCAAACAGCCACAAGACAAGAAATCTGAAGGGGAAACAAATACCAAGCTGGATAATCAATATCTAAGCTTCAAGGCAGGTTGCCTTCACTTTGAGCATTTACAAGTTCACAATTCCCTGAATGACACTTGACCATCCGCAGGTGGGAGAACACAGGTGCCAGATGGCAAATCCTAATCTTTGAACTTTTAGGTAAGATATTACTTAGCGCTTCCATTCTGGCACATTTTCTAGAGCTTGGAGTGTTTGAGTTGAACTTTGAGAGTTCTGGACGAGGCTAAGAGCGGGTCTTTAAATGTATGGCAGGAGAGTAGGAAGTTCAAGCAGAGCTTCTGAGCATTGAATAGCAAGTGAGCACTCAGGAAACACTGGCTGAACTAGATGCAAGGATTTCTGAGTGATGCTCCCCAATTGTAAAATAATCAGATTTTAGGAAAAATGGACTCTGTAGTAATTCACTTGAGAGAATGAAGTATTTACCAAGAGACATGAGAGTACAGAAAGCGAGCCTGATTTAATCTTGAGAATTAAATAGTGTCTCACGCTAAGGAATTTCCTGTGTGACTAGTGTTCTTATACAGATTGAATTTTTGGTTAAAACAATAATTTGCAATTTTATTAGAAGGTGGTTTCCAAAAAAAAAAAAATCACAAGTTTTTTAGTAAGGCCATTGATGAAAATTTACCTTGTTAGTAATTAAGCACAAGCTATGCTTTTCTATTGTTGTAATTGTTTAATTGGCACTTCCAATTAAAAACCTGCCAGAAATACCAGCCATTTTCACTTAAAGGAAAACCAAGTGAGAGCACTGAGTGGATGGATGGAATAATACTGCAAACCTGATGTTCACACAAACTTTTTTCCTCTAAAGTATGGCGGTTGGAAGCATCTCCGGCCATGCCAGGGTCCACCCAGATCTCTGTGTCATTTGGGTGGATGCTCACACTGATATCAACACTCCAGTGACAACCACAAGTGGGAACTTGCATGGACAACCTGTGTCTTTCCTTCTGAAGGAACTAAAAGGAAAGGTAAGGGGCCGGTTTGTATTCTATTAGAAAGGAACCGTCTCTTTAGCAGAAGTTCAGGAGATAGAAGGGAAGGAAGAACCCTGGTGCCATCTTCTTTTTGGTGTAATCTCAAACCATTTTCTCAGCAGCCAATAAGCTACGGGTTGGTGCATAAAGGAAGTGAGGCTCTGTGCCTCTACCTTACTTGATAGTTTGCAAACTGACTTTACATATATCTTCACTTTTTATTCTTAAACTAACCTTTTTAGTATGTGGGGCAGAGAGTAATCCCTTATAAGCAAGTTAGCAGAGGTTCAGAGGTTAACTGACTTGCTCAAGATCACATGCCGAACACATAGCAAGGCAAGGGCCAGGACTGGTTTATAACCTACCTCTTTCTACTACGCGACACACGGCCTTTCATGCTTCCCAAGCATCCCCTCCACATCATGGGACCTTTTTCAAAAATGGAGTTTTAAAATATGGATTACAATGGTTTATTATTTAACATCTTTACTGTGAGAAGTTCGTATCTACATCATAAGAGGAAGAACTAACTCCTTGCTCCCTAGAAACTTCTTTTCTACAAGATGTGAGATGACAAGGGCGCCTGGGTGGCTCAGTTGTTAAGCAATTGTCTTCGGCTCGGGTCATGATCCCAGCGTCCTGGGATCGAGCCCCACATTGGGCTCCCTGCCAAGTGCAGAGCCTGCTTCTCCCTCTCCCACTCCCCCTGCTTGTGTTCCCTCTCTCACTGTGTCTCTGTCAAATAAATAAGTAAAATCTTAAAAAAAAAAAAAAAGATGTGAGATTACACTCCAGATTGAGATTTAACATTGTGGTTCATATTCATTGATATTTTGTAGCATATCAATAAAACAATTTTTACTGATATAGCTGTAGAATATTGGTCTTTATGATGATACCTGGGGATTCAAACCCCCTTGTTAAGTGCTCAGAAGTAACACTTTAATTTTTTTATTAACATATAATGTATGATTTGTTTCAGGGGTACAGGTCTGTGATTCATCAGTCTTACACAAGTCACAGCTCTCACCATAGAAATAACACTTTCTGAACCAAGTGATAGGTTTATAAACTTGCAAAGTGTGTAGTTAGTACAAGGGAATAGCCACCCTTGGCTCTAGGGCATTTGGAGAGCAACCAAAGCTGCTTGAAAATCTCCCCTAGTCACTCTAAGCCATCCTTGGGATTAAGTCCTACTGAGAAGAGAAATAAAGAAGGAAGCTACAAAAGTCATGAAAGCCACTGATTTCTTTATAGCAGAGTTTTGGGAAAGCAGGGCCCCATGGAATGGGGCACAGAGAGGTAGATACTGACAAATGATTCAGGTCAGGTCTGGGCCAGGGTGAAGGCTGGTAAAGCCAAAGCCATATAGAGCACAAGGGGAGGCAGGCATTCTCTTCCGAATTTTGTATTGTGTTTTAATGATTTCCTTGAAATTTATGTTCTAAATATAAGATATATGCAATCCAGTAAGGGCCCTTAACTTTCAATGTAAGATTTGCTCAAGAATCATATATACTAATCAAATGGAAACATTGCAATTTTAGATCCCCGATTTACCAGGATTCTCCTGGGTGACTCCCTGCATATCTGCAAAAGATATTGTGTATATTGGCCTGAGAGACGTGGACCCTGGGGAACAGTAAGTTTATTCCTTGATGTGAATTACCTTTATTTTCTCTCTTTTGCATGCTAGGCATGCTGGTCAAACCTATGAGAAAAAAATTATTTTAAGCACCAAGTATATATATCAATACCTATATACCCATACAAATATTTATGTCTATAAATCAGGTGATTTTTATACTAATTGACTTGCTGTTAAAAATACATTAAAATATACATATAGGTCATAGGACTTAAATATTTTATGTGTCTTGCCACAGTGATCTTTTCTTTAAAGGAACAAGAGGGCATAGAATTAGACTATTAACTGTAGGATTATCTTAATATCTCCTCTTTCATAGCTACATTTTGAAAACTCTGGGTATTAAATATTTTTCAATGACTGAAGTGGATAAACTGGGAATTGGCAAGGTGATGGAAGAAGCACTCAGCTATCTACTAGGAAGGTACGATGCTTGTGTGTGTGTAACGTAAATATTATTAAAAGGACTTACTACTGATGTTAATGATTATTAATAAAGCCTTCATGTAAAATTATGGAACTTCACTGGATTGTTACTTTTTATAAAGCAAGGTAAGAACTATATTTATGTACTATGTATTAAACCACCAACTTTAAACTGAATTTCTTTCCCATCTCTTAAAAGAAAAAAAAGGCCAATTCATCTGAGCTTTGATGTTGATGGATTGGACCCATCTTTCACACCAGCTACGGGCACACCAGTTGTGGGAGGTCTGTCTTACAGAGAAGGTCTCTACATTACAGAAGAAATTTACAAAACAGGTAGGTAAAAATTGGGATGCATGAGGAAGCAAGTGTATACATGGCCAGTATATATTTATACCATCTGATTTGAAAATCAAGCCCCATTGGACACTTCCAGAATGCCCATCACATGATGCAATCACCACCGGTTTACACTCCTGGATAATATTTCAAGGCAGGGTACTGAATTAAAAATGTCAACTATTTAACAAACTACGTTATTTTCCATTGTTGTTATAGGGCTACTCTCAGGATTAGATATAATGGAAGTGAACCCCTCTTTGGGGAAGACACCAGAAGAAGTAACTCGAACAGTGAACACAGCAGTAGCAGTGACCTTGGCTTGCTTTGGAGTTGCGCGGGAGGGTAATCATAAGCCTATCGACTACCTTAACCCACTTACATAAAGGTGGAAACATCATGTAAAAATCTCACAGCTAATGTCGTAGTCAATCTTAATGATTTACTTAAGCTTACAGTTATCCTCCCAAAAATCTGGTCTTTCTGAAAAATGTTCTGCCTCGGTAAATATTGGTATAATTAACTATCAATTCCCTCTTGGTATGAAATTCAAGATTTGGAAATTCTAAGTTTTGTGTAATTAAAAACACATAGAGTGGGACTCCTGATATCAGAAGATAAAGCTACCCCACCTGAAAAGGGACCGTATTCCCATGTTGTTCAAAGATGTGATTTTTTATAATAAACTCTTTATATTAAGGTTGTATTACGTCTATATGTTTCTAAACACATGGATTTACTAAGGATTTAAAAAGCCCACAGTGAAACCATCGTCCCCCCAGAACACTTTAAGACTGGTGAGATGAAACTGCCTCCGGTTTCTTCATCTGTAAATGGGTAAGGGTAAGGCCCTGTGAGCCTCCCAAGTCCATTAATGTTAGACGATCACGTTTTACTTCTTCTAAACCTCAGACATGGTATTAGCTTATATTTTAAGCAAGGCTGCTAGTCAGGTAGCCTTTTTGGAGGTAGAAAAAAGAAATCAAACTGCCATTTGTTTCTAAAACCTTCTAATTCAGATAGGAATTTCACCTAAAATTATCTGTGGCTTCCAAACACTCCCACGGTCCTCTCACTCATTGTAATTATAGTGTCTCATTGGCTGAAATCCTTAAACAACCCAAAAACTCATCTTGGCTCTGGAATATAGTGAGGGAAATGGAATAAAATAAGTAAGAGTAAACTACAGTTGACCCTTGAACAACATGGGTTTGAACTGCATGGGTCCACCTATACACGGATTTTTTTTTTTTTTTTTGGATATAGCACAGTAATGTAAATGTTTTTCTCTCTCTTATGATTTTAGTAACATTTTTTTCTAGCTTTATTGTAAGAATACAGTATATAATACATATTATATATGTAATATTATCAACAAAATATGTGTTAATTGGCTGCTAATGTTATCAGTAAGGCTTTTGGTCAACAGTAGGAGTCAAAAGTTAACAATTTTCGACTGTGTGTGTGGGTGTCAGCACCTCTGACCCCTGTGTTGTTCAAGGGTCAGCTGTATAATCAAATCTTCCCCTTCTCCCCAACTTATACAGAACTCCAGTGGACTCTGTAATGAAGCTAGTCCCATGAAAGGATTTTTATTGCTGTAGTAGCTATGTGTTAAAGAGCCTCTATCATCTGATTTTTCACATGCAACCCAGAATCTTAAACCTAACTGATACTATAGACTCTGTAAGGTAAATATTTTACTGAATTACTTTTAGGTAAGAGCAATTGTGATGGACCTTAAAGTATAACGTTCAATAATGTAGGCACATGGGGTTAAATTAATTAAAGCTTAATAAAATTAAAAATTCAGTTCCACATTTCAAGTGCTCCAGGCATGTAGAGCTTCTGACTCTGTATTAGACAGAACAGATACAGAATATTTCCATCACTGCAGAAAGTCCTATTGGACTTTTTTTTTTCCCCCAAAAAGAAAAACTCTTAGGATGCAATGAATACAAAGGTGTTGTTTTCCCCTCAGCTGCATTCTAAAACCAAATAAATCTATCTTCTTCTAATGTCTGATTAACAATTCTTTTAAAAGCCTATTTTGGGAAAATCATATCCCCATATTTTTAGTGAGAGAGGAAAAAAGGTAATTTTTAATAAATTAACTGGAATGTATTTGTCCTTGAGAAAGTGGTACTGATTTTCACTTCCTTTAATTCTATTTGTATAATACCAGTGTCATAATTATTCCCACTCTATGACCTCAAAGCAATATATTCTTCAAGGCAGCAAGAATATATTGAAACTATGTTAGAAGTAATACTTGAATTCATTTCTAGCATAAAACTTCTGGAGAATTTTAAGAATATCATTAACCTAGAAAAATTACTTCTGCCGTTACAGAAATTTTAAGCTGGACTTGCATGGCAAATAAAGATTTAATGATCAGAATAATATGAACCACATGGAAGATAAAGGTCTAAGAGGGATGTATTTGGAAATAAAGATTTGAAGTATAGTTGGTCAAGCTTCTCTGATTCTTAAAAAAAAATATATATATATATAGTAACTCTTAAGTCCCAGGCCAATGTCCATCACCATCTGTAGTGTACAACCCATAAGAACTGTTCTGTTACAACCCAGTTAGCATACTGCCTGGAACACAGCAGACACTTGCTCAGATCGAGTAAGTAATAGGTTTATTCATTCAGCAGATTTTACCAATTACTTTTCAAGTTTTTTACAATTTTAATGCTGTATCCCCCTCCCCCAAATTAAGTTGGTCTCTCAAAATCTGATAAACCCTAAACCAAAATGTATGCTGTATTTAAAAATATAAATACTTAAAAATTTTAAGATTATAAAAATTTAAAGAATTGCATCGTTGGCTAGGTGAAAGTGCCAACCTGGAAAAGCAATTAATTTATTTTTAAAAATAGAGATTGCAGAATCACCATTTAAGCATGATTTTATTAAGTTTATGCATTTCTATGTTATTTTCTTACATGGCTTCCAACTCATTTCATACAGTAAGTTCAAGTCCACAGCAAAGGCAAAAACTTGCCAATCTGCCTTGATAGAAACATTAACCCATTTATTTGGAAACCTATGGTAAAAATTTTAGCCGTTTCTAAAAGAATATGAAACTGTGCTCCTGCAATGCAATGAAATCTAGAATCCTTCACTTGACAAAAATCTCTTATCCCAAAGATAAACCAAGAGATTTATGTATAAAATGATTAGATAACTATTTTATATGTGTGGTGCCTTTAAAACAATGTATTTGAAGACTGAAGTCATTAATAATAAAAATTAAAAATAAAACCAGTGGCTAGAATAGGAAAGATTGAAAGTATCTGATAAAAGTCATTTGATCATAGATACCTCCATATTCCCAGGTAGCTCTAATAAATTGTTATGGATATGAGCAACATGTAGCTTACTTGATCTCTTAGAGACAAAATATAGATAGGGAGATGGGAGTTATAAAGTATCAATAGATTCATCATTAGAATCAAAATAAAACAATCTGAACCTCACTGCTTCTACTACATCACTATGTAGGCTTGATCATGTTCAGATTTAATAGATCTGAGTCCACTTTCAAAGACAGATGTGTTTCCCTTTCCACCACCACGCACCTGGATTTCACTGAGTTACTGGTAAAGACCCTGGCACCTGATTAGACTGAGGGGCCGGAGACCCACTACTCATGGCTTGTGCAGGCACAGCAGCTGGCTCCATCTTGCTAATGTGTGTGATGAATCGAAGACGAAGTTTTAAAGCTGGTTTTAAATTACAGATAATCTTCTCTACCTAATAAATAAACACATTAAAAAATATTTTAACCAGAGAACTTCAATTTCCCACTTTTTTAAATTTTTTTAAAAGATTTTACTTATTTATTAGAGAGAGAGACAGCAAGACAGGGAACACAAGCAGGGGGAGTGGGAGAGGGAGAAGCAGGCCTCCCGCCGAGCAGGAAGCCCAATGCGGGGCTCGATCCCAGAACGCTGGGACCATGACCTGAGCCAAAGGCAGATGCTTAACGACTGAGCCACCCAGGCGCCCTCAATTTCCCATCTTTAAAGAAATGCTTTATACATATCTGGAGATAATAAAATCAGGGAGTGGAGTGGGCTGGATAAGAAGTTTCTGTGTTTTATGTTTTAACAAAAGCAAATAAAATTATTTCTCTCTTACATAAGGAAAAAAATGTGTTCTCCCTCACACACATTATATATGTGCATATAATCTATATATGTCTACACTTAACAAAAACATTAACTTACTTAGCTAGCCAGTCATCCCACTGTCAAAAGCTAATATAGTTTACACTGGAAATTTTATGCATCCAACCAGTTCACCATCCTTTTATTTTTTTAATATATATTTTTTAAGATTTATTAGAGAGAGAGAGAGAGAAAGAACAAATGGGAGGGGCAAAGGGAGAGGGAAAGAGAATCTGAAGCAGACTCCACACTGAGCATGGAGCTGGACACGGGGCTCAATCTCCTAAGATCACAACCTGAGCTGAAACCAAGAGTTGGACACTTAATCGACTGCACCAGCCCCACGCAGGCATCCAGTTCACCTTCCTTTTAAAATGCCATCATCGGGGCGCCTGGGTGGCTCAGTTGGTTAAGCAACTGCCTTCGGCTCAGGTCATGATCCTGGAGTCCCAGGATCGAGTCCCGCATCGGGCTCTCCCTCTGACCTTCTTCCCTCTCATGCTCTCTACCATTCTCTCTCTCTCTCAATAAATAAATAAAAATCTTTAAAATGCCATCATCACAGAAGCATAAAGCATGATTATATTTTGAAGTTACTTGAATAACTTATGTCTGTAACATTTATCTACAAAGCTAATTTTTTTGGTTTTGATTTGTACTTGGAATTCAAAAAAATATTAGATCTACTTTTACTTAAAATACTTTAAAGAAATAAAAACATCAAGCAGTTCCATGGCTTTCTTAGCTTTATTCAAATGCTCTTTGACCTTACCAGGAAAGATCAGCCTATTAATAATTTTTCCTTTCTGTATTCCCTTGTGTCAAAGTTTCTCAAGCTCAAATATAAAGAATATGCTAAATCAAACACTTCTGTATTGGTTTCCACTCAACTCTGACAATCCTGCTGAGGCAATAAAGAAGTGAACATCCTCCCCACTCCATGTCCCTAGCTCCAAGGAGAGAACCCAGTAGACTGGGATCCATATGTTTATATGTCAGTTTACCTTCCGTTCCTGCCAGAGAAAAAAGTAACATTAAGGTATGGAGGGGAGGTCACTTCACCTATCTGCCCTACCTCCACCCTTCTAAAAGAGCCAAGCCTCTGTTTCCTATAAAGAGGAAACTCAGTTATGACTCAAGGACGTCCTTTCCACTTTCAGAAGACTTTACCAGGAAGTGGCTCTTTAGATGCTGAGTCTGAATGTGCTTCCCTTTAACTTCATTGGAGTTTATATGCCTTTTGAAGTAACACAGAACAAATCTAATGCCTATTCCAAATGGCAACCCTCCAAATAGTGAGAACACAAACAATTTCCTAGGACTCTGAAAATTCAAGTTAAGTACCTCCAGTGCCTTCAAATACCCTTTATATGAATTATTCTCTTGATCCGCCTGGCTTCAGTCTTCTAGTTATGCTGCAATCTGTCCAATGTCCCCATAGTGTACCCTAGTCACTGTGAGAAAAGTGGGATCTCCTTCACTCATTACATAGCACCTCTCTGGTCTTTTAAAAAGTAGACAT